TGTGTGTGTGTATGTGTGTGTGTATGTGTGTGTGTATGTGTGTATGTGTGTGTGTGTAAATGTAAGCTCCAATGTAGTTCTGACCCGCGCCAGTGTGCAACTTTGACGGTAACAGAGGGGAGAGATGATGCGTGTGGATGTTACGTATGGAGAGGGGGAAAGTGTGTGTGTGTGTGTGTGTGTGTGTGTGTGCATATGTGTGGCTCGTGCGGCGTGAGAGTCGTCCCGGAGTTTATGATACATGGGCGCACACAGCTAGATACAGACCCGCTCGTCACACCGTGCAAATAGGGCTTAAAATAGCGTTATTAAGAGACCTCCCCTCTCCCCTTTTTCTCTTTTTTAACCGACAGTTTTGACCGGTTAACGCTGTGACGGTCAACCACCGGTTAAACGGTCGCCGATTTACATCCCTAGTGCGTAACAAGATTAGTGTGTGCGTAACTAGATCTGTGTGTGTGTAAAAAATAAAAAATAAAAAAATTGTACGCCCTAAACACAAGTCTTTTTTTTATTTTTTTACACCCAGATCTTTTGACACAGTCCTGCCTTCGCAGATTCGAAAGTGTAACTTGGACTGTGTGCGTGTGTAAACAGATTTGTGTGTAATTTGACATTTGTGCCTGTAACAGAACAATCTGTGTGTAAATAACCACCTTGTACAAAGAGAAGAACGGAAAAAAGCCTAAGTGCTACGCACAAGCTCTCGTTTTACACACAAATCTCTTTTTGACACACTTCTGCCGCCAAGCGCGTCTCAAAAGAGATAGAGATTCGTAGTAAGTAATCTTTATTTATTAAGTAATCTTTAAGTAAGGGCGGCACGGTGGCTGAGTGGATAGCACTCTCGCCTCTCAGCAAGAAGGTCCTGGGTTCAAATCCCGGTTGGACCAGGGCCTTTCTGAGTGGAGTTTGCATGTTCTCCCCGTGTCTGCGTAGGTTTCCTCCGGGTGCTCCGGTTTCCCCTACCACTAAAAATATGTACAATAGGTCTGGCATGTGCCTCCTGTACTGGCACCCCCACTACCAAAAATAACAATTGTAAACCGCTTTGAGACTCCGATGTGCAGTGAAAAGGCGGTATATAAATAAAGATTACTTAGATAGAGATTCGTAAGTGCAATGTGGTTGTATTAGCAGTACACCAGCAGATGGTGCTGTTGTAGCTGGTTATGAGGACATGTACTTCCGGATCACACCGGTGCCCGCAGTGACGTCACTGAGAGTGAAGCGCTGGTATGATTCTTTTATTTTCTAAAGACGTTGCTATGGTCTTTTCTCAATTTGGGGGATCAGACAAAAAAAAAGATGTTGAAACCTTTAGTACTTCTGTTACAGAACAGTAGGACTGAGGAGCACACAAGATAAGTGAGCAAAAACTAAAACCTAAAAACTAATACCTGCTTCATATTTGGTGAATAGAATTTGGAGGGGAATTTTTGTGTCCTTTTGGCTTCAGAAGTAAATTTAGCCCTTGCTATAATTGTGAGTTAATGAAAATAGCTCATTATTATTTATTCAGTACTTTTGAAATCTCAAAGTTAATTTAAACAATGTGTAAAAGAAAGAAGTCTACATGGTTCTGTAGTCTCTACGAAGCTACAAAGGAAACGCTCAAGTTGGCGTTGTGGTGTGCATTGCTGCAGAATCATCCGCAAATCACTGCTTCAGAAAAGAAAATCTGCAAAGAAAATTAAACGATGAACGTTAGGGTTGCACGATATATCGAAAAAAATATTGTTTTTTTTCCTTTATGAAAGACAACAAAACAGACAGACACATCAACATTCAACAAGAACAACAAACAAACAAATAAATATATGCATTTGGAGGTCATTTGTAGCCTGGTCGTACCACACCTTAGTACAAATTACATTTCATACTAAGGTCTGAATTTGCTCCATTAAGCTCCGTGAACAGGTGGGAGAGGTTAACTCCTTTTGCAGATTGAAACGATTGGATCTGAGTTTACCGTGACGTATGTAACGCGCCCGAGTGTGTTGTTAGCATTTAGCATTTAGCCTAGCCATCTCCTTTGCCACTAACAGAGCCCGTGGGGAGTAGCGCCACAATCTTGACCAGCGATTACATTTGCTAAACATTCCTCTTGCTCCTGCTTCAATTTCTTGATAGAACCAGACCAGATTACTTTACTATCGCATTCTTCGCCATTGCCAAACTACAACCTGCCCGTTCGGCGCAAACTCTTGACGTCACCGGCACCGACCTAAAACACCCGCCTTCCGCGCTCTCGGAGTAGCCGGTTGAAATACAACCGATTGTATTCGCTAACACAGGGACCAGACCCAGACGGTTACATGCAGTGAAATGATGATTGAGCGGAGTGTACGGATGGCTATGGCCAGGCTTGGTCATTTGTGTTGTGATTATTTTTTGTTATTTGTCTCTTGTGTTTTAATGCAGATTGCAATTTTAGGTGAAAGACAAAAATATCGCAATAATATCGTAATTCTCAATATCGTGCAGCCCTAGTGGACGTGTTGTGGTAGTTGGAGGAGGCAGAACAATAGTATCCTCCGTGTCAGAGAATATAAATACCTTCAGCATGAATGAACCGCTCTGTGTGTGTAAAGGACAAGGGAGGAGGAAGTCTCTCTTTAGCTGTGCAATGTTACACTCAATGTCCAGATGTGCAATGTCAATAAATGAAGAATAGGGATGCACGGATTCAAGCTTTTTCTAATCTGATGCTGGTCCTGATACTTTGGCTTCACTAATGTTCATTATCAGCCAGTAAACAGGCTTCCCTCAATGTGGGCCTCCCGAGATTTCTCACTTTTCTCGCACTGGGTTTTTAGAGTTGTTCCTTGCAGATGCAGGAGGGTCTAAGGACAGTGCTGACGAGGATCCAGGACACTCCACATTCATCAACATTTATAGACATTGGTCAATGGTCATCTGGCCTTCATGGACCAATGTCTGTGTTTTTATCATTGCATTTCCTGGTTTATTCATTAATCTGTGTTGGTGAAGCAGTCAAGCTTTGTAAAGTCCTCTGTAATAACTACTGTTGTGATTTGGCGCTATACAAAAATAAATTAATCGAATTAAACAGACATCAAGATAAAGGCCTACTCAAGATATCACCCGAGCCAATATTGCCTAACTGATACCCTATCCCACATAAAGTCTAATATTGGCAATTATATCTGGTGTCAAGATCCTATCGGAGCATCCCTAATAAAATATATAAACGTTTTATAAGCATATTGGGCTCTATGCTTACACTGTAGTCTTATAAAAGGGCACGCCTCAAAACATAAATTCCCATCTTCTAAACGTTCCCGAATGCTCGCTGCGCCTCTCCGCTTGGCTCACAGCTTGTTTTGGGAGAGCTGAGTGTGTGTTGCTACGCTAGCACTGTGGGTCATATGTACTGGAAGAGCATGGTGCATTTTCCCCCTGCTGATGACTCACCCTCCGAGTATGGCACTGCTTTAGGGAACCATAACAAACCGTCTCTAGCCAGTGCTGCACTTTCACACACTGTTTTTCGTTTCGGCACAAAGCTTTGCCCGTCTGGACGGTCCAATGACACGGAAGAAATTACTTTTTTGAAAGTCGTGCCTAACAATGCACTTCACAATGTTACTATGCTGTATGATTGGGCTGGGCAACACATAATGGGAAGTCTGTTCATTTCTTTGCAGTTTTCTTGAAACACATTTTTTACACACTGCAATGTTTTATCTCCATGTTACTTAAGAGTGATTAATGCATGCTTGTAAAGTATTTTCCGGATTCTAACAGGGAATTTACACATTAGGCGTTAACTACGCGTTGACTGCGCACATATTTTCTGGATTCTAAGACATTATTACTCTGTCTGTACCCTGTTGTGCACCTCCACTGCTAAAGCTAGAGATTTTATACATGCTTCATTATTATGCTAAAGTAAGTAATTTTATTTGATTTTAGTCTAGAGTTATTGTTTCAACACTGAAATTGTAGGATCTCTTAATAAAAAGTGTTTAAGTGCTTAAGCGGAAGATTCAGTATTTCAAATAATATTTTGGCTCGAATGAGAAAGAAAATCCCTTTCTCCCCTTTTGTAACATTTTGAATATTATTTGATCAGCATTTTCAGTCTTTGGAGAAAATACTGAATTGGTTAAATCACAGAGAAGGTCTAGCACAGAAAGGGAAACAGAGACATTATTCAGTTGGGGATATTTGTCATACCAAAGTTTTCCTTATGTTTAACAGGCCTGTGCAGTCCTGCTCCTATCATGTTCACTCTGCTGGGTGCGGCATTGTTAAATGTTACACAAGCGTGAGAATGCAGAGAACACTGAGACTACAACACTCCCTGTTCACTTTGATTCACCTGCAGGCCAGGACTTGTGTCTAGTGTGTTCTGTGAGAGAGGCTTGCAAACAACAACTTGGTCAATGGTTCAATAACTGATTTTCCAGGCGGGGAAAAAGAGAAGGGAAGTAGTGGTCCAAAAAGTTACAAAAGTTTATTCTACCAAAACGTAAATGTGCGAACAGAAACGGTATTCTGAGCACTATAAAGAAAATGTCAATATCACAGTGAGATGCAGCAGCAGGATCCACTGGTCAGATGGAAGTCCCGGTCTGTTCTGAGCCCCAGCTTTTTATACCTTCCAGCTGATCAGCACAGGTGCGGGGCGAGCGGCTGGAGGTGGGAGGATCTGAGCAGGCAGAGGCATAGACTTGATCCATAACAGCAAGACTCCCATCTTCTGGTCGAGAAAAAACATAATGCTTGATCTAAATCTAACAGTCATTTGGACATGTTCCCAAAATGTTGTAAGTTTCTTTAAGTCTTTTAAACTGATTTCCTAATCTTAAGAACACACTATGAGGGCAGTATGTGTCTTGCTGCAACTGCCTCTGACCCTCACCCGATGCTTCTGCTGTTGTTCTCATTTGACACAGAACTGTTTGCTTGTGTGCAGGTGCGGCTCGTGATGCTCCACTCTCACCACCTCTGCTGATAAACGCCGGCGCTGAATGATGACATCACCATCCCCGACACTCAGCGACAGCAGCGGCTCCTCCAAACACGACGGCAATAATGTATGTGTTTTAGCAGTTGCTCAACATTAGGTCTGGATGAAAGGGTGCAAAAATGTATTCTTTTCAGTATTGCAATATTTTCTACGCATGCAATTAAATAGATACAGTAAAGTATTGAAATACTTGATCTAATAATTTAATAAAAACTTTATTTTCTCTGAGGTACATCCGAGGTTTCTGTTCCTCTATGATTTCTGCTTGTTGTGACTCTAGTCTGTTGTATTTGAATAATGTAGGTATAATGTCTGTAATAAGGCCCTGAATGTTCAAGGCTGTTTCTGCACTACTCTGTAAGAAGTCTGTTGGACTGTTTTTTTTGTTTTTACCATCAAAAGTTTTGTAAACTAATGATTTTGTGAACAAATCAGACCATGGCCTGATGTTTTTTCTTTTATTAGAAAACATTTTATCTTGTGTAAACTTGTGAAAGAGCAAAGTTCTCGTTATTTAACTTTTCTGTCTAATATAAAGATGTGGCTAAATGTGTAAACTTGTGAAAGAACAAAATTGTTTTGAGAGTGAAGAACTAGTAACATTCCTTTCGTGATTTGAAAAGAATGCAAATACTGATTCTGCCTTTCGATTGATTTCATGAGACTTTACTGGCTGATATTAACACAGAATGCCACAGTAACACATGGGACTCCTGCTGTAGTAACTTCGCTGTGAGCATCAGGTGTCAGCAAATAGTGACGGCCAAAAAAGTTTAAAATGGACAGTTTGGGAGAAATAAAGTACATTTTTAGGAATCTGGCACATCAGTCATTTAACGTGTCTTCACCGTAGACATAGATAGGTGGTTGGGGCATTAAAAAGTCGTGAATATAGAATGTTTGGGGCACTAAATGATCTTGCTGGTCGGAAACTTCTGGTTCCTTTGTGACCAGAATCTATACATAGTTCCCACGAAATCGGCAGCAGACTTCCGGTCTCCATTTTTTTGGGCACACCGCGCTACATAGGTAAACGTCCTAGAAGAGGTGACTGAAAAGGATACCAATTTTTTTCGTGTTTTGGACAAAAATGACTTCTCAGAAGTTGAAGTCGTACAGGGAGAGCCTCCAGCTAAAGGAACGCCAGCGATACCAAGTGAAAATGGGACTGATTGCGGGGAGAGATCCATATATGCTAGCAAAGGAGGACCTGAAGAATGATGCTAAGTGCTTACCTGCTGTTACGTACATTGACATCATGAACTACCTCATAAATGCAAAAAGTGCGTACACATTTGAACAGCTGAAGGCATATAAATCAATGGAAGCCATGAATCAGCTGTGTTGTGGATGGGTGCGTGATGTACAAAGTATGACTGTGGAGTCCAACGTGTTGGTGTTAGCAAAGGTATGTAGCCTGCTAGCCTTTATATTTTTCACAGTATTTACGGTACTGTTTCTTATTTTCATGTTATGATTTTTTTTCACACATTCAGGTTTGCCATTCTCAGATGCTGAATGCTGCCCCTCTGCGTCCATGGATCATAGCTAACAAAGATGGGACAATAGAAGCAGCACATTGTGATTGCAAGGCTGGACTAGGTGAAACCTGCAGCCATGTCGGTGCTCTCCTGTTTTACGTTGAATCAGCACACCGCTTGGTTACACAGAGGACTGTCACCCAAGAGAAGGCTTACTGGTGCATACCATCAGCGATTGACAAGGTGCCATATGCCACGATTTGTCAAATAGACTTCACATCAGTAGCGACAAAGAAGAGACGTTTTGAAAGTAGAATCAGTGGTAATGCCCTTGTTTGTTTACCTTTGTCACCTTAAATTCAGCCTGGTATCTGCTGACTGTTTTTGTGTAATGAATGAATTATATATATTTTTGGAATTCTAAATTAGATATACATTCAAATAATGACATTAGACTTACTTTATTGTCTTGCTTATGGGATAAATGTGCACTTACTACTTGTATAACTCCAATACTGTTGTTGGGAAAAGCAGACAATAAGTAAACATATTTTATCCTCATTGCAGGTGAGCCTATTCAACAGCGGTCATCCCAGAAACTTCCTGATGTCCCGAGATCAGCTGCAGACAGACTTGAAATATTGCACGACTTGCATCGCGTGACAAAAGCACTTTGTTCAACAACAGTGCCAGTCCTGATGGGATACCGGTTATCAGTACTGCACCCCAACAGACTCGGAGTCAGTCAGCAGCTGAAGATGGCAGCACTACATGCAGTGCACTCCGTTGTGTTTGTGGTGAACGGTCAGAAACATATATGAGTAATACAGTGAAGTGTGCCAATGAAAAATGTCAGTATGGTTTTCTCCATTTCAAATGTGTTGGCATTAAGAGGAATCCCAAACCTCCATACTATTGTCCCACTTGTAGAAAAGTGATGTGGTAATAAAGTGAAAAGAAAAGAAGTATGTTTCAGAGAACATTTATTTGACCCACAACGGGGAAATTTGTGTTGCATCACAAGTTATGGAACAGTAGGAAAGAGTAGCACACTGTAAAAGATGAGTGAACAATAGCTATACTAATTAAAATAAAACATTCTTTAACTCCCATAAATAACAAGTATAAAATCTATCTTAAATAAAAATAAGTGTAAAAGTTTTACATTTGGCAAAATAAGAGGCGTGTGTATTCTAGTGCCAGCAATATGTAGTTCTATGTTAGCATCTGTACATATGCAGCAGTATCTTTACATCTATACATTAGCAGCATGAGGCTCTGGGACACAGTGACTCAGTAAAGTGACAGTGACATTTGGTTAAGCATAATTCCACACAGCATAGTTCTATGCAATACTTAATCAAAACTAACCACAGACTCACACATGTTGGTTAATGCACAACAAACTGTTGTAATTTTATCAATTGCTGGCACACCCCCCTCTTCACTCATCAAATAGTCAATAGGCAGCTTGCCTTGCAAAATTGTGTACTTATTTCTAACAAGTCCTATCACCCTCTCCACATGAATTCTAACATGGGCGATTCTTCGTGTAGTCTCAACGTCTGTTGCTGATAGCTGAGGTTTCCCACGTGTAAACGCTGGAACATTTATTTCTGCACAGTGGAAACCAACACTTTCTGAAATGTCAAATCCACGGTCGGCTAAAACCAGATCTCCTGGTAACAGCTTGTTCAATATTCCACACTCTTCTGTTATGAACTTATCGGAGGCTCTTCCTCCCCAACTATCCGAAATGAATGATATTGAACCTTGAGGTGTGATGCCTATTAGGTACTTAACAGTATTGTGGTGTTTATAGTTGCTCCATGTTTGAGCTCGGGCCATTAGTCCTGTTGGTCTTTGAATAAATATTTCAAAACAATCAATTATTACTGCAGTTTTCTTTGAAAAGTAAGTCTGAAATTCCATAGGCATTGTCTTTCTCAGTTCTTCTCTTTCTGGCCAATATATCAAAAATCCTAACCGAACAAACAATATATGTATAACAATTAAAAATGTTCTTGAAACGGTTGATGTTGATGTATTGAATCTGTATGCCAAGTCTTTTACTGGAAGATTCAACTTCAGTCTCATCAGCGTCATCAGTAGTCTTTCAAACACACCTATGCGCATATTCTTTTTGCAGAGGAAGGGTGAAACAATGTTGAAAAGTAGCATGAGCGTTTCAAAGTTTGGCAGTCCAGTGTAGTATTTTACTTTCTCATTGTTATCTTGAAAGCTATTCTGTGTTAATTTCAGAGATTCTAGTTCTGCCCGTAACATCATGTTTTCTGATAAGAGTCTTTGATTTTCACTCTCTACTTGACTTTGAGTAACTCGTGGGATGGAGTGGTTAGATGCTTCGCTGTCATTGCTGGTGTCTGCTAGACTTTCGTGACAATCTGGTTCCTCTGGTGGAATGGGGTCCTCATGTTGAAAATTGTCATGGAGTTCAAGAAGACATCTTGCAGCATGGTGCTTCTCTTTTGTTTCTTGTCTTTTCATCACTCTCTGAAATCTGTTTGAATAAATATAAGAACCATAAATGGTTAATACTTTTATTTAGACTTTCAAAACAAGTACCTTCATCAAGGGTTATTTCAAGTAAGAGGATGTATCGTGTATACCTTTTTTGTTTAGTCTCAATCTCCGCTTGTTTTTTTTGGGATTTGGTAGGGGTCAGCATTTCCCCAAGCTTCAATGTTGGTGCCCAATCTGGGTTGGATCGTTCATACATACTAGAAGGGTGACCTGAGAATCAGAAAAGAAGAAATGTGGAAATATTACATCAATTCAAAGTCATAATATATGACACGATTCAAATACTACCAAGCTCTGCTAGCTTCCCTGAACAGACAATGAAAGCTCCTTGCACTTGTGTTTTTGTAAATTATAATTAAATATATTAGTATATATTCGAATATCTAAATTAATGAACAAACAAACTTCGAAAATGATTTTTGTGCATAAGTCAAAGCCCTAGTTCAGAAACAGCATGTCATCAGTTTCTTCAAGCAGCTGTTTGCCCAGACATTAGGTTTAGCATGTAGCATAGCTAGGAACAAACTAAAGCAACGTGCACACTTATAAACAAAAACATACTTGATTACATTGAAAATATGTTGAGAATACAACTGCTCTACCTGTGATGAAGTGACTGGAGCAGATTTTCGAGAATTTCGTAGGTTCATCCTTCCTGTTGACACTAGCTAACCACAGTCGTCGGCGTTCCTCACTCAGTGATTTGGTGAAATCTCCCTCATGCACTCGGACACTTGGGATAGAATAGAAGCCTACTTTATCAGTCCCATTTGCTCTGTTAGTACATCCAGGTACCCAACACGAACAAACCATTTTGGTAAAAAAAAAAGAGCCCTGAAAATTATCTGTCTCAATGTTCGCAGCAGCAGCAGCCGCGTACTTTGCCCTGCAAAATGGTGGACGCAATGACAGGCCGGCAGCGGTGACGTCACATGGGAACTATGTATTCACATTTTTTGGGCTTTATCCTGGACTCCCAAGGTCAACTCAACTCAACATGCCCTGGGAACAGCTCTGACTACAGCCCTCAATATTTTGTGTTTATCTTGTATTTATTGTTTATTTGGTTGGGACAGTACATGTTCATGAACACATCACTCCGGATTGAAGCCATGGGCTAATTTGCATCCGTTGTCCCACATTCACACTCAAAAATACTGGAGTACCCGGAGGAAACCTACACAGACAAGGGGAGAATATGCAAACTCTACTCAGAAAGGCCCTGTTCTGTTCTTGTCTCACAGCCGATCAAAAGAAATGCTCATTTTTCTGGAAACCTGCTGATAATTACAAACCTCGTTGGTCTTATTATTTACTGTATGTCATCTTGATGATGTTCAGTTTATGTGAAATCAAAGCCCCAGAACTCTCCATGTATCGATGTAAAGTGACAATAATTGTGATGTCTTTTCAGCCATACTTCTATATCCAACAGAGCTTGCATGTCACAAGCTGCTTCTATTTTTGTAGTTGTCATAGTAACTTGTGGGAAGCTGTGGTTGATTGTGTATTCCATGGCGTTGTGTGTGTAGGACAGCTGGGAGACTGTGGAGGGTCTCCGAGGGGCCCCTGTCAGCATCCAGGAGCCCGGCAGACAGCAAGGCTTTCTGCTCAAGAGGAGGAAGTGGCCCATGAAGGGCTGGCACAAGGTCAGAGGTGTCGACATTTACACAGTGTTACAATCTGCTCTTTAAGCTTCCAATTGTACTCTTAGAACAGTACCACATCTAACGGTTGGTAAATAGGTATTTGAGTTTTTATGTTTTGAGTTATCCAGCCCAATGTAGACTCCAACGGCAGGGGTCTCCAATATATGGCTCGGGAGCTACCAATCGCAGCCTCCCTCCTCAAAGTATACCCAAAGGATAATTTCAACTATTGCATATCCCAACGTCAGCTTAGTGCACTAATACGTCATAATTGACAGTCTGAAACAAGATTTGCCAATGAAAGAATAAAGCTGGTTATTCCGATTGACAATCTTTAAATGTATTCTTTTAAGTAAGTTATGTATGTATTGTATTGCAGTAAATGTGCAATACAATTTGTATTGCACATTTTACAGACCAAGGTCACACAAAGCACTTTACTGCGTTCAGAATCCAGATATTGTTCCATTCTCTCCACATGAGGATGACAGAAGCGAGACGTCAAACACATTAATGCATAAAAGCCCCCAACCAACACCATTCACTCACTCTTTACATTCAGACCTAGTCTACATGTTTTCATTCAGTGGTAGGGGAAACCGGAGCACCCGGAGGAACACAGGGATAACATGCAAACTCCACTCAAAAAGGCCCCGTTCCGACCGAGATTCAAACCCAGCTTCTTGCTGAGAAGCGAGCATGCTAACCACTCAGCCACCTTGTTGCCGTTTTATGAATGTCAAATTGCATTCAAATTAAGATATAAAAAGTTTGGAGACCCCTGCTCAAGTGAAATAAAGATTCCCTCTATTCATCATTCATTATTGGGTACATTTCAATGAATATGATTCAATAATTTTGTTCCTTGCAAAAAAAATTGGTTGCTTCAATTATATTTTATTACGTTATAAAGTTACAAATTCAAGTGTATAGCAGTGTTGCCAGTGCTGTCAGTGCAGGATTCTGTCTCACCATCTCCTTATCTCCTCCTAAGTCCAGGGCTGTCCTATTGGGTCTTGGGTGATGATCATACTATCAGGGTTTGGGCTTCTGTAAACAAAAATGTTGTCTTTTTTTCTTCAGAGGTTCTTTGTGCTGGAGAAAGGCATCATGAAATATGCCAAACGTGAGGGAGACGTGAGTACAGCGCCACCTGTCTGCACCTGTCTGACACGCAGCGGACACAATGTTAAGCTGCGTTGTTTAATTTCACAGATAAAAAAGGGGAAGATCCATGGCTGCATCGACGTGGGTCTGTCTGTCATGTCCATCAAGAAGAAAGCCATGTGCGTCGACCTGGACACAGAGGACAACATCTACCATCTAAAGGTACGTAATCAGACAATGATGAAGGGGGTCACTGTTTATTCTAGAAACACGTACCTCTGTTAACCAGTGAGACTTCATCTACTGCAGATTTAATTCAGTTCTTTCTTATCTTATCTGTATTCGTACCACAGTGGGGAAATGTCGCATCACAAATTACTGAACAGTAGGAATGAGGAGCCCCCTCAGCAGGTAGAGCCCCCTCAGCAGGCAGAGCCCCCTCAGCAGGCAGAGCCCCTTCAGCAGGCAGAGCCCCCTCAGCAGGCCGAGCCCCTTCAGCAGGCAGAGCCCCCTCAGCAGACAGAGCCCCCTCAGCAGTTGTGCTGTGAAACTCTTCCTTTGTGATCGACTGGTAGATTGTGACTGAGGTTATGAGCGCTCCCGCTCCGAGGTATTCTTTGTGCTCACTTAGCTCATTTTGAGGAATTTCATCTTTTAGAATGACAAAGAATTTAAAGTGAAAATAGATATGTTAGATAAGAGAATTTGGTTGATGAAGCAGAAAAAAAAAATACATTATACAAATACATGCACTGAGGTTTTCAGAATTATCTGTTAATGTTTTCATGACAAAAATACTGTTTTAATTTGGTTTACTGCGTCAAAAAGCAACCGCTTTTTGACGCAGTAAACCTAACTAACTAACAATTTCATGTATCATTTAAAAAAGATAATGCCCATTACAGCTTCCAATATTAAGGGCTGTCTAATATTCGTTCAAAAATATAATAATGTATACATATACATATATTTGTTTAATATTCTAATTATATACGAGCATGAGCGCAATGATTGACAGCCCTTGGCATCAAGGGCTGTCAATCATTGGTCAAAATGGACGGCATCGTGGATTTTGAGCTATGGCTAAGCGAAGGGAAGGCGGGACTTACCTGTAATATTATAATTCATATAATGACTTATTTTATATCAACATTTAAGGCCAGGAGGTCAATTTAATACAATTCTTAAAATGTGTAATTAATTTAAAGTTCCAGACTATCACTTTAAGGCTAATTCCCAATGTGCAAAAAGACAGGTTTGTCAACCAAAAGTTCCAGGTTGCTCCCGGGTTGTGAAACTACTCTCGATGACTAAGTCACATTGAGGACAATAATTTGCTTAATGATAGCATAACGAGTTTTGAAGCAGTGTTTGGGAGAGTGAAGCTCTAACTATCATTTCATTTTAATTCTGTGACTGCAGAAAGACAAAACGGTTTGTTTTACTTTGGCACGTTCCTGTCTCTCCTAGGAAGTGTGTTCCCTAAGAACATGTGTTGTGTCCTTATGGAAGACACTTCACTTCATTGCCTAGTGTGAGTCTGGGGTAGAGTATTCACTTATTTTTGTTTATGCTGAATAAAGGTGTTCACTTGACTTTTCCTAAATGGAGATTTGTAGGAAAATATGTGTGAATATTTGGCTGGATTTGAAACTGTCCGTTTTCTTTTTTGTTTTGGCAGTAGAGAAGTTGACCCAGACCTAGCATTGACCATAGGAAGTCTTAGTCATATACAAATATGGACTTTTAATGCTTGAATTTTTTTGAAACTTTTATTGAGCAGATTTTAGTTCTAATTTCTCCGCATAGTGAATATAGTAGTATAGTTACTTGGAGTCAAAGTATGGTGGCAATTATATTTAGCTTTGAGCAACGTCTGCAATCAATACATGTTGATGAAATACTATTCAGTATACTAGTCATATCTTGGGACAGAATAGGGATGGAGGACTGACAATTGATGAAGAACCAGTAAAGACATGGCTCTATCACTGTATCAAATGTAATCCAAAGCAGAGATGGTGGTGCTGGAAACGTTTTGGAAAAAAATTCATTCAATATGGATTGACCCAATTTGTCATGGTTGTGTTGTCATGTGTATGTCATGGTTGTGTTGTTGTGGTTTCCAGGTGAAGTCCCCAGAGCTGTTTGAGGAGTGGGTTTCTAAGCTGAGAAACCACCGACTATTTCGTCAGAACGAGATCGCCACAAACCCGGAGAGACACCTGTTCCACCCACACGCCTCCTCGTCCCCCGCCCTCAATAACTCCATGAGGCGGGTACGGCATCAGATGGACCTCTGTGTGATCAGTGAGACAACATGTCTCATTATTGTCTGTTGGCTTTCTGTCTGTGTTTTCAGCGGACCACTCTGACCAAGCAGGCGTCCATGCACAAGGCCAAAGTCAGCTCGTGGTTCCACTCCTCTGAGGACATGGACAAATGCTGCAAAGGTCAGAACACTTTTTGTTTCCTTATTCTACAGAAAAGCTGATCGCTATGTATTATCATTTTATCTTTAATTTTACAGTGATTGTTTTTTATTTATAGTATGGTTAACAATATTGAGCTAATGTCATAAAATAAGCTCAATGTTATAAACCGTGCAGTCTGTTTGAGAGTCTTGTATTATCCACATGTGTCCATCAGATCTGGAGGAGGCAGAGTCTTACCTGCTGGAGCTGAACCTGCTGCTGAAGAGCATGGAGGTCATGCACCGCACCTACTCTGCCCCGGTCATCACTGCCCTGCCGGTGAGCTGGCTCACACACTACAGGGTGCAGGGGCAGACCTGCTATCAGGCAAAAGGAGGCTCCTGCCTGGGGTCTCATGAAAATAAACATATCCAAATTGTTCTATAAAGGCCCCATTATAAAAGTTTGCCTTGGACCCCGAAATGGCAAAAGTTTACCATTGTCTTTAATACGATATACAAGATATTTAATTATTTAGCAAAGGTAAGCACAAAGCGTGTTACAACCCTGCCCCTATTCAAATGGCTTGTGCTCAGTAGCGGATGGGACTTCACGAGGACCGGGAGATTAGCTGAACTCGCCTATATTTTGGCATCGTCTGGTCCTCTTGGTTCTGCGCAGTGGATTATCTCCCATGATGCGTCGCGCCAAATACGTGGGTCTCACATGGGCTCTCATGCACGTGCACAAAGGGGCTCGGCCGCGCTCTGACCAATCAGAGCTGCTCATCAGAACAGTGGAAGAGCAGAGCCAGAGCGGGAAGTAAAGGAGCAGAGTTTGTGGCAGTAAAGTGTGGATTTAAAGAAAACCGAAGGATTTAAGAAGAAAAAAAGTTCAGGATGACAAGGGACATTAAAATCCCCACAAAATCCGATCTTTATGAAAGCTGTAAGTTCTCTGCCAGCTGAGGTCGAGCTGTTTTCATTTACAGTGAGTTCTATTGGACTTTTTTCTGGGTAGCCCTCGTGAATTTAGTTTGCAGTACCACGGGCGCCCGCTGTGCCCATGGGTGGGACAGCTTTAAGCTAGTAATACCCTATCCATTTATTATTATAGATCCATAGTTACAACACATGAATGGAATCATTAGTCTCATCATGCAAAGAAAAAACACTCTGAATTTGTTTAGAGAAGAAGAGTAGTGGATGTGTGTTGAGGACACCATGTGTATGCACATGGTGTTTCAGGTTTGAGCTGCATAAATGTTCCCCCTGGCTGACTGGCCTCCTGCTGGAGCCTAGACTAATTAGTCCTGACTCGGTCGTGCTGAGGCATCTTATATGAGTGGTTCCTTGATCTGAAGCATTTGGAGTCATACATGAATATCTGTTTATTGGCAGCATGCTTCTGCTTACAACGTTCCTAAGAAAGAGAAAAAGCCCAGAAGATGGCTCTCCAAAAACAACGGCAAAGAAACCAAATCTACACTCCAGGTCAGTGTTTGGACAAAGACTGGACTGTTCAATGTATGTCCAGGTCATATTTAGGGCTTTATCACTTTTCACACTTGATGAAACACACTTCATGTATATATCTGATCCTCCCAGGTGCCCAGTTGTATTTCTTCCAAATCAACGCGTCTCCATGCATCCAACCCAAACCTGTCCTCCACTGAACTGGAGTCTCAGGAGGCAGGCCCAGAGTCCCCAGACTCCCCCACACCCGTGTCCCGGCTGCAGGAAGACTTCTGTCGGCTAGCCAACAACAGTGAGTGCTACTTTTCATACGCCTCGCACAAATCTTTTCAGGAGCCTCTACAGGCATGTTTCGTTCTCGGGACATCTGAAGAATTTAAAATGTGAGACTAATACCATACTTTTTGATTGCTTGAGTGCACCTCTTTATTTGCTGAACCAGCTAAATGTTGTGTGTCTGCGTGCTTCTACACCCGTTTACACGTCAGCTCTACTATTCCCACGAACCGACTACCTGTTTTCTTTGTGCCTGCAGTTGATTTGGTTCACGTTATGGCCAAGAAAGCTGTTCGAGGGTCAGTGTGGCGGGTGCTGCTGTGTAGGAGATTTTCCTCTCCAACGTCCGCTCTTCTGCCTCCTGCCACTTTATACACTTAACTGCACAGCTACATTTCTATTGTGAGCACTTGTATAGCAGACATTTGATTACGATTTTTATGTATGCCTATTTTATCCATTTTCTCTTTTTTCTAACTTGTTTAAACCATGAGTCTCAGCATATTCCTTGTTTGTGTTACTAACAATGGCAATGAAAAAAGATTCTGATTCCATCATTATGGTTCTCAGAAAAATGGAATCCATTTGAAATGGACAGTAAGCCACAATCATTGAAATTTTGATAAACTTTAGCTTAGCATATGACACGTAATGAGTCTATATAATTTATTGGTCTCATATTTTAAGTTTAATTATGAAAATTAAACTGTTGCTGTTAGTTCCATGACTCTTTGGCCTTGTGCCCTGTGTAGTCTACGCCAATCTGAAGTCTGCCTACACCTCTGTGTCGTGTGAGAGAGATCGTCTGAGGCAGAACGTGGACCAGCAGGCTCCGGCTCCGGCTCAGCTCGTCAGCCTGAAGACGGTTTACGCATCAGTGAGAGCCTCTAACTCCCAGTTTACAGAAAGGATCTGGACTTTAGAAATGTAGACTTTGCATCCAAGAACAGCTGAGGAGCCTGACCATTCACACCAGCAGTAACCAGCCTGACCCATTCACACCTCATTTAAAAAAGATAATAATACCATTATTTTTATTATTATTATTATTATTTTAATGTATTAATTTTATTTATGAAGAAATCGTGTTTTTGCTTCCATACTGATGCTTATTTGTATGGAGATGGTTCATTTATCTTTAATATCAAATATTGTTTCAGGTATATTGCAACATAGCAACAACTTACATAAATGTCATTTGTATGAGTCAAAGTAGCAGATTAGGAACAACATTTTACGTACTAAAATATCAACATTAACTTGGTTAACATTTTTGTTAATGCTGTAATTTACAGTAAATCCTGACAAAATCACATGGACAAAAGAAGACATAGTTCAGGCTTTATTACTTGGTTGCCTTTCCAAGGAGACATGTCTGACTACGCTCAGCCTCGTGTCCAGAAACATGTCTGACCGTAGACAGGCTGGAAAGCAGTATAGCAGGAGATAAGACACACCTCCTCTTCCACACAGTCACAGCTTCACAATGAGACCTTTGGGCTTCGTTTATACGGAGGCGGTTGCCAAGCTATTAAAAGAAACGACCAGGCTCCTTAAGCAAATTTCACAGCGTTCATACAAGCATGAAAAACGATGAAGTTCTAGTGCCCGGCCAGTAGTGGGCAGAGAAAAGTTACAACACGACACATGTGAACCCCAGCCCCCCTCCAGCAGTATCCTCACTTCCTCCACAACATCCTCCTCAGGCGCCACAAAGAAGTGAAAGAATGCTCCAACATCACTCTGCATTTAACAGAAGCTGCGAAAATGGAAACCGAAGCTAGAGCTTCGAGTGGTTTTGTTTGGACGAAGAAAGGAGTAGAATTCTCCTCCGTGTAGCGCTTGAAGCACACGTAGCTAGTTAGTGCACCCACCGCCACTGTTGTTCTCTGCTACTGCGCATGTCCAAATATCTTCATGCGGGTGTGAAAGAGCGCCCCGCTGAGCAGCGTATCTGAGCTGTTCCACTCTGTAGGCTGGATCTTAACTCTTACATATTACTACATTAAAATGATAACTTAAAAACATTCCATTTAAATTTGCCAACAGATCTTAACAGCTATGTGTTCAGATTCACAGAGAGGAAATCAGTTTTGATTTTAAGAATATAAAAAAAAGGCAAAGTGACATGGAAAATAATGTATTAGTACACTTGGAAAATGTGACCTTGTACAGTTAGACATCTCCCACCCCCAACCCTCAAATATTCAAACGCCCTGCTACGGGAGTTCCCCTAGTCAGTTTGTCTTTGAGCACTGTACATATGAGTCTGTACATGTTAGTCTGTACATGTGAGTCTGTACATGTGAGTCTGTACATGTGAGTCTGTACATGTGAGTCTGTACATGTGACCCTGTACATGTGACCCTGTACATGCGAGTCTGTACATGTGATCCCGTACATGTGAGCCTAACAGTGTGTGATGTCACAGGAGTGTCCGGGCAGCTCTAACTCTCTGGTCCACCAGTCCTCAAACGACAGCAGAGCGTCCATTCCAGAATCCATCTCAGAGTTCTACGATGCTCAGGAGTATCTACTCTCTTCCTCGTCTTCGGAAAATGAGGTCAGATTCACATTTTGCTTCATGTTTATTCTCATGTTTTTGATCTGCCAATCACTGAGCTCAGCACCAGTCACATGTGAGCATATACCTGGCCGCACATGCACAGTGGGTCGCCAGGAAAGCCAAGATCACCGGCTGAATCTCCCTAACTACCCTTATTTTGGGATTTTGTTTTGTTTAAATGTTTTAGAACAGGGGTCTCAAACCAGTTCCAGAAAGGGCCAGTGTGGCTGCAGGTTTTACTTCCAACAGTTCCAAACTGAGCAGGTGCACAGATGACTCCACCCATTTACTCAAATCTTCAGGTTAACACTGGACTCACCTGAGTAAATGGGTGGAGTCATCTGTGCTCCTGCTCAGTTTGGAACTGTTGGCAGTAAAACCTGCAGCCACATGGCCCCTTTAGAACCGGTTTTAGAACCTTACTTACAAAATATGTAAATTAAAACCTAACCTAAATATTTTCTTTTGTGTGCTTAATAACACATTTTGTTTGTCCCAAAAAAGTCCACAACATGCTTTTATCATAATAGAAACATTTGTATCTTAAGATTTCAAGAATTACAAGATACAAGAACAGTTCTACTGTTACAGAACAATAGAATGAGGTGCACACAACACAAGATAAGTCAATGTCACGTGTTGCACATCTCTATACTACTAAAAATACACTAAAATCTATGTAATAGATCTTACACCCTATGTCTAGCTTAATATTTATGAAATGATGATAGATACAAGATGGCGCCTCGTACGGTCGACATGGCTCTTTGCTGCTCTCTTTTTCGAAGTCATTTGAACGCCTGGTTCTCTCCCATCTCAAGTCCCTCACCTCCCCCCTTCTGGACCCCCTGCAGTTCGCCTACAGAGGCAACAGATCTGTAGACGACGCCATTAACCTGGCCCTCCACCACATCCTACAGCACCTGGACTCCCCGGGGACCTACGCCAGGGTCCTGTTCGTGGACTTCAGCTCTGCCTTCAACACAATCCTGCCATCCCTGCTCCAGGACAAGCTCTCCCAGCTCAACGTGCCCGATTCCACCTGCAGGTGGATCACTGACTTCCTGACGGACAGGAAGCAGCGAGTGCGTCTGGGGAAGAATGTCTCGGACTCTCGGATTATAAATACAGGAGCCCCACAGGGCTGTGTTCTTTCTCCCCTGCTCTTCTCCCTGTACACCAACCACTGCACCTCCAGCCACGACTCCGTGAAGCTGATCAAGTTCGCGGACGACACCACCCTCATTGGACTCATCTCCAACAACGATGAGTCCGCCTACAGGAGGGAGGTGGACCGGCTGGTGTCCTGGTGCAGTGGTAACAACCTGGAGCTGAACGCCCAGAAGACAGTGGAGATGATTGTGGACTTCAGGAAGAGCACTGTCCCCCCGCCCCCACCCTCCGTGATGGACTCCCCCATCACCTCTGTGGAGTCCTTCCGTTTCCTGGGCACCACCATCACCCAGGACCTCAAGTGGGAGCCGACCATCAGCTCCCTCATCAAGAAGGCCCAGCAGAGGATGTACTTCCTGCGGCAGCTCAGGAAAGCCAAGCTGCCTGCACAGATGTTGGTGCAGTTCTACACGGCCATCATCGAGTCCATCCTCACCTCCTCCATCACCGTGTGGTTCGCTGGAGCCACAGTCAGGGACAAACAGAGACTACAGCGCATTGTGCGCTCTGCAGAGGAAGTGATCGGCCGCAGCCTTCCATCGCTGCAGGACCTATACGTCGCCCGAGCTCGAGGCCGGGCTGGTCGTATCACAGCCGACCCCTCTCACCCTGCACATGGACTATTCCAACCACTCCCCTCAGGCAGGAGGCTGCGGTCCATCAGGACTAGAACCTTCCGCCACAAGAACAGTTTCTTCCCCTCTGCTGTTGGACTCTTGAACACTTCTTAACCTGTCCCCCCGCCCTTTATAAAGTCACTTTACTGCCCATCATACGTCACTTTACTTCACTGTACTGCTGTCACCTTACATTGTGTGCACCATGTGCACTTGTATATTGTAAATAGTAACTGTAACTCTATTTTAAATTTAAATTTATTCTTTAGAAGTGTTTTTTATTCTTATTTTTATTATCTCTTTTTGACTGTTGCACTGAGCCAAAGCAATTTCCAAGTCTGTGACTTCCTGTTACTTACGTGGCAATAAAAATGATTCTGATTCTGATTCTGATTCTGAAATGCTACATATTCTTGTGCAAAAATGTATATGTGTATGTGTACATGCGTAGAATATGATCTATGCTCTGAGGGTTTAAATGTGCACATTGATGATTGTGCCTTTTGACATTGCGCAATATTGCACATCTTGTGACTATGAAACAGATTTTCAGTTCAACATGAAAATCTGCATCTTGTATTCAAGTGCGGCCTGAATGTGGACGACATGTACCTTCTTTTCACATGTTGCTGGTCGACTTGTATACAATTAGAGAGCAGTTAGTTTTTGAAGTGAAGTGTTCATGTAAAGCCAGAGGCCTGCAGTGTGACCTTAGTATGACCTCAGTGTGCCGTGTCTCTGCAGGTGTCGGATGATGACTCTTACATCAGTGATGTCAGCGACTCCGTCTCCATGGATACATGTGACGGCGCCGCCCACAGACACTCCTCTGGTCAGTCTAATGCTCGGCACATGCGTAACTTTATACAAGACACTTGTTCTCAATGTTATTGCTGTATGTATTCAATATTGATCTGAGTTTATTCAAGCTCTTCCTACAGGCTGGAGGCGAGGGTGAGGCTCCACAGTGAGCCTTTGTTTTAAAGGGTCCTATATTTAGGGCTGTCGCAATAAATGATATATTGAGTTACCACGCAATTACTAAAAATGAGGTTGGTACATCAGACTGCCTCCATAAGTTCCATTTGTGGAAACCTGTGTTTGCTCGTTTGTCATTTTCCCACCTACATGACAACGTATGGTCTCCTCTGTGTTGTGCAAGAGCCAGAGACATGTATGCGAATGGTCCAAACAAGAGCCCTGCACTTGAGCCCTAGGCCCGAGCGGCCCGACAGCCCGAGGACTGGGCTTCGGGCCGATGACCGCATAATTACATCGCACACGGGCCGGGCCGGGCACTTTTATTTATACATTTTAAGATAAATAAGATAAGATAGACTTTATTGATCTCACGCAGGAGAAATTTACATGTCACATCTGGCAAGGATAGAATCACTCAAGAAGAAAAAATAGTTGTGCAAAGAAAGAAGTGTACAAACATGTTAAATGCAGGATTTATTGTGTACAATAAAAGTGGCAATTAAGAAACAGTGGTAATAGCAGCGCAGTTTTTTTTATTTTTATAGTCCTAGTGCAAGTGACTTAAAGTGACTTATTGTACAGTTTGACATCGGTGGGGATAAAGGCCCTGCGGTAGCGCTCCTTCTTGCACTGACAGTGTCTCAGTCTTCCACTGAAGGAGCTCCTCAGGTCCTCTACAGTCCTCTGCAGTGGGAGGTGTTGTTCATGATGAAGGTGACTTTGACTAGCACCATCCTGTCCCTCACCTCCTCCACAGAGTCCAGGGAGCAGCCCAGAGTGGAGCTCCACTGACCAGCTTGTTCAGTCTACTCCTGTCTCGCTCTGTGCTGCCTGGGGCCAAGCACACGGCAGCGTAGTGTATGGCAGAGGCTACCACAGAGTCATAAAAAGTCCTGAGCAGAGGCCTGCTCACTCTGAAGGACCTCAGCCTCCTCAGAAGGAAGAGGCGACTCCAGAGCGTCAGATTACATTTACGAACGCACCCAATGAATATAGCGTTCTAATAGTCTAATAGTCATTGACGACACATAGCGTTACCTTCAAGTGTGTTGTAGTTTATTGCGGCCTCTGGGTATCATACAAAGATGCCGTTCACTCTCGCCACACATCACTACCATGTATAACTCCGCCCTCTGGCCGGGTCTGTGTTCATAACAGTGTGCGGCACTATATACTACGCCAGAACATTGTTATGGGAGAAAAAAAAAAGTCTGGCTTGATACGGTTTCGGGCCTGAGAATTCAGAAACCATGTCAGGCGGGGCCGGGCTGGGGCACCACCCCTTCGGACCAGGGCCGGGCTCGGGGCCAGATAATAGGCTCGTGCAGGGCTTTAGTCCAAACCCTGCCCCGCTGCCCAATCTCGTGCTGCTGTGTGTGTATGCGCTTTGTAGTGAATGACGCGGTTCCCCGCTTTGACAACAGGGTATGCAGCCGTAACGTGGCCGTAATGTGACCACTGCGCTGACCTTATACGGACAGGAGCTATCCCCGCTTGTTGCAAGTGCGTGTCTGTGCGGAACCTGAGTACAAAATAAATAGGCTGTCCGTGTCTGTCTCCTCCCGAAGCACTGAAACTAAAATTCACTAAATGAATGCTGGGGTACCTACATTTCCCCGCCATTGATAATGCATAATAGTATCTTGAGCCCAAAAGTTAAAACGAGCTACACACATGTTTTCATCACTTTTGTCAAAGATAAATAATCAAGGAGATCAAGGAGTCAATTGTTGCTGTTTATTTATTTTGTTTTCTAGGAATATTTTTGGTGAACTGAGACTGATTTTGTAAAAATGTCTTTCAGTTCCAGAACAGTGTTAAATGTTTTAGGAATTAAAGTTTATTGGTCTTTCACTTGGTCTATTTGCTGTTTTTATGCCTTTTGGCCTTTTTATTAACCCATTGAATTTGTTAAACGCGTCAAGTCATTAAATCCTGTTGTGACCAGTTAAAACAGTCGTCTCTCTGCTACATTACATTGGATTTTCTTTTAAAATGTAGTTGGTGCAGCTTATATTCAGGTGCGTCTTATAGTCCAGAAAGTAAATAATGGACAATGAGATATTCAGTGAATTTCACTCCCTCTCGACACAATTCAATTTATTTTTGTATAGCTCTAAATTACAACTGTAGTTGTGTTATCTCTGAGAACTCTGAGAATTCGGCAACACTGATCAGAGAATCAAACAGTTCAAACACAGGAAATGCAACAATAACAGACACTGAGAGCCATTGATCCATAAAGGGACGACCAATCATGGACAATGGACAATGACCAAGTCCATAAATGTTATTGAATGTCGAGTGTCCTGTATCACCACTGTCCTTAGACTCTCCATCGGCAAGAAACAACCCAAAAAACCCAGTGGGAGAAACTATGAACAATGCTTGTGAACTTCCCATTTAAGAGCCCTTTTTGTTTGTCCAGTGTCCAGTGAGGCGTCCCTTGTGCGGCGGCGGTCCACGCTGCCCAGCCCCTGTTCCAGCAGCAGTGTCTCTCTGTGGAACATCCTGAGGAACAACATCGGGAAGGATCTGTCCAAGGTGGCCATGCCTGTGCAGCTGAATGAGCCTCTCAATACCCTGCAGAGGCTCACAGAGGAGCTGGAGTACTGCCACCTGCTGGACACTGCCAACAGGACACCTGACCCCTGCCAGCGAATGGTGAGTGAGAGTGAGGACCAGATCAAACCTGAACAACCTGACCCAATCACACCTAACCGTACCCAACCAGACCCAACCATGCCCAACTAGACCCAACCACACCCAGCTATACCCAACTACAGTCTAACCCAACAGACCCAACCATAGCTAACCAGACCCAACCACACCCAACCTTACCCAACCATAGCTAATAGAATAGAATAGAATAGAATAGATCTTTATTGTCTGTTCAAATTGAGCAGAGATTTGTCTTTCAACACGGCACGATTCATGATCATTCATAAAACACACATAAAATACATTTAAAACACATAAGAAAAATACATTTCATAATTTATACAGTGCTACCGGTTGTTTAGAGCAGTGACTGCAGATGGGACAAATACCCAACTACACCCAATCACACCCAACTATACCCAACGATAATCGACCAAAAAAGACCCAACCATGCCCAAACACACCCAACCATACCCCACCACAATCAGACCCAACTATTCTCAACCATAGCTAACCATACCCAATCATAGCTAACCAGACCCAACCACACCCAAACAGACCCTACCACACCGTAGCCAACTATACCCAGCCACACCCAGCTATACCCAGCTATACCCATACTACAATCTAACCCAACAGACCCAATCATAGCTAACTAGACCCAACCTTACCCAACTATAACCAACCATAACCAACCACACCTAACCAGATCCAACCATACCCAACCAAAGCTAGCCCATCCACAACCAGACCCAACTATATTCGACCACACCCAACCAAACCAGTGGTACCCAGATACTATATACCCAACCACAACCAGATCCAGCCAGATTGTCTTATTTATTGACAAAAGCCGCTCGGGACAGAGAATGTGAGCGACACAGATCGGTGTAATTTGGTGTGTCTGTTGCTGCCATTGTTGCTGGAGCATTCATTATTAATTGCAGACTAGACATTTTCATTCAAACAGAGAAGAGTGCAGGGAACTATATATACAGTAGTCTATTAAACTGGAGAATGGAACAAACTCCGGCTATCGTCATCAGATAAATAAAAACCTATTTTTGTGGGGAAAAAAGTCAGCTCGGATTCAAAAATGACGCTCTAGGCCTCAGTGCCGATGACTACAACTTCAGTTTGACTGAGGTTAAGCTGGCAAACGTTTTCTGCCGTTGAGAGCGTCCACTAGCCTGTTGTCATGCGGCTGATGGAAAAGTGTTGTGACGGGATCATAAAGTGAAGACTTATCGGACTGAGCAGCTGCACATGCTGTGGGGTTATCACTAACCTTTGACTCCTGGTTCCGTGTCAGAGTTAATTAAAGTAAAGCTCACATGTGTAAATATGTGTGTTACAGGTGTATGTGGCGGCCTTTGCCATCTCTGCGTATGCCTGTACGTACCACCGAGCCGGCAGCAAACCCTTCAACCCTGTGCTGGGGGAGACGTACGAGTGTGACCGGCCAGACAGGGGCTTCAGGTGCATCGCAGAGCAGGTACCTGCTCCAGCAGCTCCGTCTGGGTCACATGATGTCATGGTCACATTACATTGTCATGGTGCTATGACATGATGGCACCAGTACAGGGCTGATCCACACATTTTTGTTCCAGGTGAGTCACCACCCTCCTGTGTCGGCCTGCCACGCTGATTCAAGAAACTTTACCTTTTGGCAAGGTGAGGGCCTGCTCCCACTGAGAACTGTACTTACACACATGCGAATGCACAAACACACGCACGCACACACACACACACACACACACACACACACACACACACACACACACGCACACACTGGGTAACCATGATCTTTTCTGTGCCTCAGATATGCGGTGGAAAAATAAATTCTGGGGAAAGTCGATGGAGATTGTTCCCATGGGAACCACTCATGTGACATTACCCGAGTAAGTGCTGTGTGTGAGGACTACAGGCAAATGTGGTCATGTTACAACCACAAATATAAATATTATATTTTCAATGATAGTGAGTTTTTTTTAACTGAAGAGTGGCCTGAATATTCACATCCTGCCTTGATGATTAAATAGAGCCCACATGTGTGTAATGACGACATTAGTATAAATACTACTGTGCAGGTTTGGAGACCACTACGAGTGGAGCAAGGTCACCTCCTGCATCCACAACATCCTGAGCGGTCAGCGCTGGATCGAGCACTATGGAGAGATGACCATCAGGAACAGCACGAGCAACGAGGCCCAGTGCAAAGTCACCTTTGTGAAGGTCAGACCCTTTACCCTCCCTTACCCCACCCATCTCTCCTCTCTGTCTGCCCTCTTCTGTCTCTCATCTCTCTCTCTCTTCTCTCCTCTTTTCTCTCCTCTCTTTGCTCCTTTCTCTTTCTCTCTCTCCTCTCTCTCTCTTCTCTCCTCTCCTCTCTTCTCTCCCCTCTCTTCTCTCTCTTCCCTCTTTCCTCTTTCTCCCCTCTCTCTGCCCTCCCCCTCTCTCCCAAGGAGCCTGACATGCGAAGCTTTAACAGAAGTGTGTTTCAGGCGAAGTCGTGGGGTTCCACAGTGAACGAGGTGGAGGCTGTGGTCACAGACGGAGGTGGGACAGTGGTCCGCAGGATGTTTGGGAAGTGGAACGAGGCTCTGTATGAAGGCAGCCCCCCCTCTGCCACCTGCCTGTGGAGAGCCAGTGAGACACACACAAACGTGCACACATACACACAAATGCACACACAGAGATTTGGAGCAGATACATTTCCTCTGTGCCCTCCGTCCCTTCAGACCCGATGCCTGAGGAGCATGAGCTGTACTATGGCTTCACTCAGTTTGCGGTGGAACTGAACGATCTGGAGCCGGCTCTCAGACCTCTGCTGCCCCCTACTGACACACGCTTCAGGCCGGACCAGAGGTAACCCCTTACAACACTAACATTAACCACTGAACACCGTTTTTGTTTTATTCTGAGTTCAGCTTGTCATAGCACATTCATTTTGGTCTTCAAACCCCACAAGCTCTGTGTAATGTTAAAGCTTATTTTCTCATTTACATAAATATACAAGTGCAGGCAATACCAGACTTCATATTAAAAAGATTTAAAGCATAATATGGGCACAAAAACAAAGAATGCTCATACTAATCTTTTCTTACCTTTTGACTAGTGCTGTGTCTATTATTGAAGTAATCCATGCTTGCTGTGGCTCATTAATTCTGCAAAGTATAGTCCAGTATCTCCATACTGGACTTTATTCTCCAAAATATAGTCCCGTATGGAGATATAATCCTGAAAATCAAAACTATAAAACATAAAAAAAAATGACCATAGGTTTAAGGTTGAATATTGTGAGCATACAATGAAGTATGCCTTTTTATAGATTACATATTTAGAAAAACTTGTATTTAAATGTTCTAAAAACGTTTTCTTTTTCCAAACTTTAAAGAATGTCGATTGAAATAGGAGTGACATACTATTTACTTAAACTAGAAGGCTCTAGCTTAAAAACGATGCATCACACAAGCATGTGATGTGTAAGATGTGTTCTTAAAATTTATTTTGGTGTGCCCAACTTTTGTGCACAAGCCAAAATGAGATGGGTTTTAAGGCTGGGAATTGGCCAAAATGTGATAATTCCATAGTTTTTCAATATTTGGGCCACAATTCAATGTTATTGTGATTCTTATGATATAGCTATACTGCATGTATTGCGATATATTGTGATTCATGATCCTCATATAATTCAAAGGCATTACTCAAATTGAGGAAAATACGTCTCAACTCAACGGTCACATGGTCTTCACATTAACTCAAGTACAAACACTTAAGAGGGAAGCACAAAACGTTATCCTTGAACATTCAGGACACAGGACCTAATGACAGGAAGGCCTCATTATTCTCTGGATAGACGACCTCTGACATGAAGGGTGAGCTCCCAGCAAATCACTTACATCATTCAAATAAAACAGGCTAAAGAGCCTACACTGAGTAAAGGGACCAATACTATTTCATGCTAGGGCTTTGACTTGTGCACAAAAATCATATTTGAAGTTTGTTTGTTTGTTTATTTAAATATATTTGAATATTTAATGATACAGTTTCTCGCAGCAGAACGGTCCATTGATTTGAATATAATTTCAAAACGTTCTACTGATCATTATTTCTTGATAACGGACCTGTCAAAACAATAATTCCCTTTGGCAACGCAATCTCTGTGCTTGTGCTTCAGGTGTGTAATATACTAACATCGCACACTTCAGATTCAGATTCATTTATTTGCCATTTGCAGTAAAACCACATTGGAAAAACTGTGCAAGACTACCCCGGTGTGCACCAGACAGAGAAGACGACACACACCAGAGCTCTTGCCACGGCGTCATCTTTACGGCGCCATGCGACAAACAGTAGAATAAACAGCAGAGAGCAATAACATACAGTTTCACAGACAGTTGGATAGACACATTGTGCTTTGTATAAACCACGGATTTTTTTCTCGGGATGAGCACCTCCATTATAACAACATTATACAATCTCAGCAATTTGGCCAAAATAATGTCAGATTAGAAAGATGTTTTTATATCTGTCTCAGGTTCAGCTGGTGTGTCATGATGTTGGTTGGGGAACACTGATTTAGCTGATTCAGCAGTCACACAGAAGCATTTCTATTAACGTTTTATGGACTTTGGTTGTTTACCCCTGTGAACCAATGGTTCTATTTCCTGTGTTTGAACTTTTTGATTCTCTGAGATGTGTTGGCAAGTCAAAATGTTTTGTGAAGTCCTCCGAGATAACTGTTGTGATTTAGGGTTATACAAGAAAAAATAGAAGTGAATTGAAATTGAAGCATGGAGTCTGCTCCCTGTGATCTCAAAGTGTGTGTGCGCGCGTGTGTGTGTGCATGTGTGTGTGTGTGTGCGTGTAGGCTGTTGGAAGAGGGCAACATAGAGGGCGCTGAGGAGCAGAAGCAGAGGATCGAGCATCTACAGAGGGAGAGGAGGAGAGTGCTGCAGGAGAACAACCTGAAGCATCAGCCCAGGTTCTTCAAGTACGAAACAGACACACATGCACACACACACACACACATACAAACACGTGCACCAGCATACGCACACACACATTTTGTTGTTTAAAATGTATCACTTGTTAACACCAGAGGTGCAACGGTGCATCACTGATCCGTTATCCGTTCGGATCAACGTCTTTGGTTCGGTACAGACGTGATCCGCGGTTTGATTTATGAAAAAAAAGTTGTTCAGTCCACACACAGCGTGGTCACGGCGAGCAGAAGAACGGAGGAGCTTGAAAGCCCCGCGTCATTTAAATCCCCAGTATGAGAGCATTTTGGCTTCACTGTAACTATACTGATGATTAAATATTCGACAAAACTGTCACGATGTGTAAACACTGTGGCACAAGAAAGACATGAGTGAAAAAAAGCGTCTCAACGACCGCTTATTGCCGCGGCATTTAAGCAGCTCCTTTACGCACAGTCAGACCGGGCTAAAGTCAACTCTCCCGCACATCCTCAGCTGCGCTCACGACTGACGCTTGGACGTCCCGCGGAATCTATAATAGATCCATGAGCGGAACGGAGAACTTCATCACAGCAGACTGGGAGATGCAAAGTCTGGCGCTGCAGACACGCCCCCTCTACGACAGTCACACAGTCACACAGCGCAGGTTCTGACACAAGCAGCGGAGGAATGGAAGACAAAGGCCCAGTACTAATATTCCAGTCACAACTGATAATGCCAAAAATTAAATAAATGCAGTGAATGAAGCTGGACTGGGCCCAGAATGGAGCGCCTCCTTGGGGGAATCAGGAAGGTGGTTTAATATATGAGGGTAAATACACTCATAAAGTGCCTTCTTATGTTGCACTTTGTGTTGTTTTTCATTAATTATATTGAAAAGATGGAATATGCCTTCCATCCATCCATCCATTTCCTTCCCCTTAATCCATTTCTAGGTCAGGGGGGTGGCAGTCAGAGCTGCACCCAGTACACAGAGCACCAGCCACTCACTGATCCTCCTGCAGGTGGCGAGTCCATGAGCCGTGTTTATTAAAAAGACAACACTTTTTTTTGTTTGAAAAATGAACCGAGAAATGAACCGAGGTGCAATCCGAACCGTGATTTTTTTCAAACCGTTGCACCCCTATTTAACACTAGAACTCAAGAGCAGTAAATTTGGTGGCTTTTTGTTTTGGAAGTGTAATTACTTTATGTATGTCTCCTAGACTGGTCCTAGACTGGTCCTAGACTGATCCTAGTCTGGTCCTAGACTGTTTCAGAGCAATCTCACCCTGACTTGCTCATCACCATAGCAACACACTGTTTACCTCATCAGTTAGCATTTAGTTTAGTTATTTCAGTTCCATTCACTAGTTTTACAGCGTATTTAACATAAACATTGTATGAATAAATTAATTTCAATAAAAGTAGTGAAAAACTAAAGCTTCTTTTGGGGGATTTTTACAGATTGCCGTTAAATTGAAAGGGAGCTGTCAAAATGATTGTTCCGGGAATTCTAGTGTTAATCAAAATAAAACTTGAAACTGATCCTTTTGTGTCGACAGGAAAAGTGGAGACGACACGTGGATCTGTAACCATAGTTACTGGGAGCAGAGGAGGGAGCCAGGCTTTAGTAAGATGGACTTCCCTGTTCTGTGGTGACCCTCAGACCTCAGCCCTGACGAGGGGCCTCAGAGGGGCCTCAGAGGAGGCCTCACACATGGAGCCTTGAACACATGTGTTTTTTCTGTAGCTGCTGTTCTTCTGACTTCTCTCAGACCAGTGCCTTGTGCTGCAGCACGAACACACAGCAAACCTTCAGAACAGGAGCTGGAACTAAAGCCTTCTTTCTTCCAGCCCTACTTTCTCCTACCCTTCTCTGTTGGGCTGGTGGAAATGGGGCTTGATATCACTTTTTTTCTTCCAAACTGTATTTTTGAATGCGGTTTTTCCCATAATTCTTGATGTAAATGATCATGTTCAAATGACCAGAGGTGAACTGTTTATCTGTTCTATAGACAGTACATAATAAAGACATATTACAACAATCAGTGTTTGTCATTCGTTCAGATTAAATACAAGATCATATTTGGAACGTATACAGTATGTTGTCTACGACATCATCCAGCCACTCCAGGAATCAAGTACACCCATTTGATTTCTATTAATGGCACAAAAGTTTGTCCGGCGCGGCACGGCAGAGGGGGCAAAAGTCGGTCAAAACAGGAAGACAGAAACACTCAAAGAACCAAAACGAACTAAAATAGGATTAAAACAATGAGGGATGCAGTGCTTGCGAACAGTAGAGATGATACAAGTGTTTGTCGATATGGAAGTACCAGTTAATGACATAATACATCAAATAGAGCAGATAGATGGAGTAGATGAACTGTTGTATGACGTCTCTGGAGGATCTCGGGACAAAGGCACTGCACTCATGAGGACTTCACACAAAAAGCTGCTACCTTTCACTTGTTTGCTGTTATGATGCTAGTTTCTAGATTTCTGCATCATTATTCTTTTAGAATTATTCAATTCTAAGCCTATAACAAATCAAAATTAATTGGAGGAATATTCTTAGAAAGGTCGCATTTGTGATTGGTTAACACGTTTTTTCATATGAAGCAGCTGTAAAAATGTCTTGAGTGTACCTTTAAATAGTTCATCTTTGTTCATGAAATTATCTGTTGTTTCTGTATATGCAGTCTCCAAAGCCGCCCCCAGAGGGCAGTAAAAGCAAAAGGAACGGTTCAAATGTAGACTTAACCTTTATTATACAGTCTATGACTTAACCCAATGATCACACAGCACTGACAAGCAATAAAGGAAAATATCTCTTTAATTTGCAGTAATACTGTACATACATGTAAAAAGACAGAAGTATACATTTGCCTGAAACCACAGAGTCGTGTGTGTTTTATCCACACCTGCTATGGCTTTTATCATTGTTAGAATAAGCTGAGCTGAAGATGTGCACTCCGAACCAAATTTAAAATGAAATGTATGTGTTGTGAAGTTATTTTCATCTTATCTGCTGATTTACAGTATACTGTGATGTAAGACTGTTAGGATTAATGTTTTTGCAGTAAAAATTGCAAATTCTTTGACGATTCTTTCACAAATTGGTTAATAGTAGAACATTGTCAACGGAAAGTGGTGTAGTGCATTCTGCAACGCTGAAATAGAGTTTACAAATGAGGCTGATGGAACTGAAAGCGATGTATATATTGATTAACCTACCTTTGAAAATATATCTTATATAAGGATATAGTAAGGTCTTTTTGAATGTTTACAAACTGCAAGGAATTATGTCACTGTTATCGGCTCGTCACATCACTGTTTCCCAACCTGTGGTGTGCAACCCCAGGAGTATCTCAAACAACATTCATCACTGAATAATGGAAAACAAAATCATTTTGAAAGTTAAAGCACAAAATTCATTTGTGTTTATTTTGGCCAGAAAAACGTGATGTTGAGAATATTAATTTTGGCATTTTTATGTATTTCATGTTTACGAGCGTCTCATGTCTGATCTGGACTAGTGAAACACCTCCACCTAGTGGTAGCAGAGGGACATTACATCTAACTTATCCCAAACCAGTACTTTTATTTGGAAAGAAAACCACTCCGTCAATTACGTCACAGTCTGTGGATGTGTCATAGTGTTTGAAAACAGAGCATTTAAATCAGGGGCTGCATGAGGTCGGGTCTGTTTGTGAAACAGATCTATGCACTTGCAGAACTTCTCCTCTCATTCATCAACGTTAACGGAAGAGAAAGTAAAAGTTTGGGCTCAAAAAACAGAGCCACTGATTTAAACAGAAGGGGGAGCTCATCACACCTCCAGGTCTAAGTGTTCTTTGACAGTTGACCACAGTAGTTTTTGAGTATCCACCTCCACACTTCCAGTTTGTGTCCTGATGAACTATAGTTTTCTGTAAAGATAGAGACCGACGCTGACTGTTCCAGCTTCATGTTGAGAGGCAGAAACGACTGAAACATGACCATGTGGTACTCCTTCATACTTTGAGAGTTGTACCTGTCGACTGAAAGTATTTTTTATGATCCTAAAATATACATCCATTTTAGCCCTAAAAAGGAGCTTTTAGGCAGAAGGAGTGGGAAGAGGTTTTCCTGAAAACAACTCCAGGCATATTCATTGTAAAATGAAATCATTTTTTGGCCAAAATCACATCACATTGTCACTTCTGGGTTGACAAAATTGTTGATTTGCGAAGAACAAATTAGAATATCAAACAACAAACAAATAAAGCTGGAGTGCAAAGCTTTCAAAACACAACAATTGAGCTATGTAATAATTTCCATCCCAGACTCAGTCTGGCTCTAATACTAGACTTTCTAGTGCAGGGCTCTCCAACCTGTAGCTCACCGCCCCCTTCCAGGTAGCTCGCCAAAGGATATAGAAATGAACAAATCAAATAATACACTTGATATTTCAGATTGTATTATTCATTATAATACAATCAAATAATAATAATAACGAATTATGATTCGTTATTGTAAATGCACTTACTTTGTCACAAATATGTGGTAATAAATTTTTTTGGAGACACCTGTTCTATTGGGATGAACAACATCTGTTATTTATGCAACAACAAAGTACCCCAGCTCTAGCAAAAGAGAGATTAAAGGTCCCATAGTTCACTCTTCATTTTTCACAGTCCATTCTAATCATGTGTGATGCTCTCTTTGGGTGATACACCATACAACACTCAAAACGGATAGCACTCTCGCGTCTCAGCAAGAAGGTCCTGGGTTCAAATCCCGGTCAGAACAGGGCCTTTCTGAGTGGAGTTTGCATGTTCTCCCTGTATCTGCGTAGGTTTCCTCCGGGTACTCCGGTTTCCCCTACCACTAAAAACATGTGCAATAGGTCTGGCATGCGCCTCCTGTTCTGGTGACCCCGCTCCCATCTCTGTGTGGAGTGAGAGACAAATGCCCAAAAAGTAACAATTGTAAACCGCTTTGAGACTCTGGTCTGTGAAAGGCGGTATATAAATAAATATTACTTACTTACTTACTTATGTCACCTCAATTGAAAAAATTGAGGTGTGAGCTCACCTCTCCCCAACTGCGCGGTGACGTAAAAAGCTACTCTGGGCATGTGTATGAAGGCCAAATAGCACTGTGTAAAGCGTAGTATGGGACCTTTAACCAGTGTTCACAAGAAATAAGCAGTTCTATTTTTAAACAGGGAACAACGCTGTAACATGTTTGAAAGCTCAGAAAAAGGCGATTTTGCATAATGTGTCCTTTAAACAGGCCTGAATCCTTGAGCCCTCTTTACACGACTCTGTCCATGTCTGCTCTGAGTCCCTGGTCCAGGTGGGAGGTCAGGGATCAGTCGGAGGAGAAGCCCTGACCCTCCCTCTGCCTCGCGCTGACCGGACAGTCTTTGTGTGTGAGGAGGATCTGCTTCAGCTGGCCCACCTCTGAGCGCAGGGACGTCACCTCGTTCTGAAACAACAGTGAATCAAAGACAAATCATCTCCTGCACGTTCAGGGCTGAATCTTCACAGTTACAAATGAAATGTTGCTTTTACTTTCACTTTACAATGCATACCAAACAATGACACCATAAAGGTATTATTCTCTAAAACTCACTCATTGTTCTTGAAGTAACTCCGTAATAACTCCCATAAATAAAAGTAAAAGCTTATATTTGTAAAAAATCAGAAATAAAAACAAGAAAAAAGAACAATTTGTTGTACTGTTGTCAAAGTGTTTCATACTGACAAAGCTGTTACTGAACTTAGAAACACGGCTAACCATAGTTGCAAAGTCATTCACCCATTTTTAAATGTAAGCAGTATCAAGTACAGATATTTGTATTCAATTCAATGTATTTTTCTATAGCCCTAAATCACAACATGAGTTATATCAGAGGACTTTACAAAACTGATTCTTTGCCCACACAGATCAGAAAATCAAACAGTTCAAACACAAGAATTGGAATAATAATTGGAATGGCTATAAACACATATAGCCATTCGTCCATAAGGGGCAAATTAACAATGTCCATAAATGTTGATAAAGTCCAACTTTGTATTTTAAAGTGAGGAGTAAAGTTAGAAAGTTGTTCTACATGAGTACAGAGGTAAAGACACAGACCTGCAGCTGGAGGTTGGTGTGTGTCAGCTCCTCTGCCTTCTTCTCCAGAGACGACACCCACACTTTCCTCTTCTGTCGACAGCGTGTGGCTGCAGCTCTGTTCCTCTCCAGAAACTTTTGCCTGCGTTCGTCTGGGTCCTGCTCCAAGCTCCTCCTGCGCCGGGCCACTGAGGCCCCTGAGCCTCCTGAGGGCCCTGCATGGGACTGAGGGATTGAATGCTGACATTGGGACAGGACAGGGGACACCTGGACAAATTCAAGAAGACAGCCTTCAATATGAACCTCTCTTGTCTCAGTATACATACAGACTCAGACGTCTGTCTCAGTATACATACAGACTCAGGCCTCTCTTGTCTCAGTATACATACAGACTCAGGCCTCTCTTGTCTCAGTAAACATACAGACTCAGACCTCTCTTGTCTCAGTATACATACAGACACAGACCTCTCTTGTCTCAGTATACATACAGACTCAGGCCTCTCTTGTCTCAGTATACATACAGACTCAGACCTCTCTTGTCTCAGTGTACATGAAAGTTCGGAGTATACATGTTTTTACACACCTGAGTGGGGGTGGGGGGTGAGCCCTGGGACAGCCGGTGGGGAGGGGTATTGTAGTGGAGGTGGTGGGCGTGGCCTATGTGCTGAGGGGGTGGGACATGGAAGCGTTGCTGTTGCTGGTAGCCCATTGGTGGAGGAGATAGCTGTGGGTGGTGCAGGGGCTGTTGCCGCGGTGACATCATGTCCATGATGTGAGCCATGGGGGGGCCCCCTCTGCTCATGGACATCAGGGGGGGCTGATGGAAGGGGGGACCCGGCGGGTGCTTCAGTCTCTGTCAGACACAGATCAAGAACTTGGTTTAACACCCTTCATGTGATAGAGGAGTTTTAACCACAATAGTGTGTCTCTATAAACTCAGTCATAATCGTTTGCTTGGATCGGTTTGCACACCTGGTGTGCAATCCATGAATCTCTTTATTCAAGGCTAGGTTTAAAACAGTCCTCTTTAGTTTAGCATATGGCTAGGAAGGTAAGACTCAGGGAAGGTTAAACTCCTCAGACTGTCAGTCAAGCTGCATAGGGAGTCAGTTTGCTGGGAGAAGTATGGTAACTTGAGCACTATCCTCACCTCCTTCCTACTTTATCTACTTTATCTGTTTAGCACTTTTAGGATTCTGACTGTAGTTTGTTCATTGCTATTCACCCGTTGTCCCATTGTCTGTTTCATGGTACGATGACGGGATTTTTGAGCCTGGCCTCCTCCATCTACACCTGCGGACTGCCCTGCCTGACCCGCCTGGGAGTGCTTCGGCCCTGCACCGGACATGTCCACGTTCAGCGGCCACTGGTCCACGTCCTGTAGCTAGCTTAGGTCTTAGATCATTAGCCTGTCCGTCCGGAGGAGCGGATCCCTTTCTCATATGGGTCTCCCTCCCTGTGGGTTTCCCTAGTTCTCCCCAAGGTTTCTCACTTTTTCCCACTGGGTTTTTTAAGAGTTTTTCCTTGTCGATGCAGGAGGGTCTTGTTGGACAGTTAGTGTCCAACAGAAAGGATTGGTGATGATCAGGACACTTTAGCATTCTACAACATGTATGGACATTTTCTTCTGTGTGTGCTTTATATTCTTCATGTGTTTTAACTGTTGATTCTCTGACCTGTGTTGGTGATTTCAATGGTTTTGTTAAGTCTCTGAGATGACTTCTGTTGTGACCTAGGGCTATACAAGAATAAATTGTATTGTATTGTGCAGGTGCCAAAGCTGATCTGCGCTGCTTCTGAGTGTGAAGGGGCCAGAGGTTTTGGAATGCTCCATTTAGATAACAGAAATAATATGTATATTAACAACACATAAATAAACAATTTTTTTTATTAATTCATCTGAATTTTTGGCTAAAGGAGTCACAGCAAAGAGACTGAAGACTCCAGAGCCACACGTAGCTGACCCCTGGACAATGAAATCCTGAAATGTATGTGTTTATGGGACAATGATTTTGATCCAGCACTAGGAAATGAACATTCCTAAAATCAACTTCTGGGGAAACACTTTTGGGACATTGGTAACATTGGTAAACAAAAATGTGCATCATATAGAACTCCCAGAGCTGTCCTTTCCCGCTCAAATCAACGGGATTCTGACCAGTGAGTTTTCCATCAGTTTTATTCACATTTACCTTCACTCACTTAAATGCTAAAACTGGTTAATACAACTTCAAATACTGTGATGACTCCAGTCTTGTGTGGTGTATGTGCTGATGCTGCTGCTGCTGCTGCTGCGGCTGCTGCTGCTGCGGCTGCTGCTGGCAGGTTTGAGGTTCCAGCCAATGGGAGAGCTGATTGGGACTGGCAGCACATGGAGATGGCTGTGACCGATCACATTCAAGGGCCCTCAGAAAGATGAGGGAGGCTCTCACCAAGCAGCAGCAGCAGCAGCAGCAGCAGCAGGCTTTAAAAATGAAAATCCTTTTAACATCTGTGAACCTTGAGTCAGTTTGTTGAAAGGCTAACAATCACTGGAAGCAATTTAACAGTATGTTGCTATGGTTACTAGTGCTTGCTCTTCTCTACTCCATTTCAAAATTAAAAGTTAATTTCATAAAAGTGGCATAGAAATAAACTACATATAACAACAAAAGCCGTCAAAATGACTGCTGTGGGAGTTCTAGTGTTAATACATGACTTCTCCAGGTTTAGTGACACAAATGAGCCTCAGCCAATCACCTCTCTCCTCAGACCGCTTCCTCGTGTGAGCACACTGCTGCTCACCTTTCAGCCTGAGGAGAGCGAGGCCAAAGGGAGACTCAGGTTTAGTGCATGACATCAGCCCCTCTGCCCTCACGCGTTACACAAGAGGCAGCGGCGGGCGCTGTGGAAGTGGGTCAGCAGAGTTTAGAACGCAGGACCTTCTTGTTAACCACTCAGCCAAGGGCCGTCCAACCTTAGTTTGAGTTACTTTTTAGTGGTTTCAAAGTTAGGTACCCCAGCTTTAGCGGCTGATACAGTTAAAGATGATGTATGTATTCTTTAAATGTTTGTTTTGAGACATTACACAGTCATCACTGAATAGAAAATGTGATCTGGGAGGGCTCAAACTTTCACACTAAAATAAACAGTGTTGATCGAGATGCGACAGACAAACGTTTGAATGTATCACTTATGGGCACTTAAAGCTGAGGTACCTAAAATTAATCTTAAGTATTGTTGTTTGTCCCAACAGAAAGTCTTAAAATAGTTAAAAGAGAAAACCACCCACAGCCAATCAGTTCTCAGCCCAAAGCATCAGAGAGTGACTCTCATGGTTCTTTTTAAACAAAGCAAAAGATACTGATTTCTAATGAGACGAACAGTATGTTGGGTCTGAACATTGACACCAGGATCCTTAAAGGACAACTCACCCTCAAATAAACGGTATAAATGAGTGTCCAATAGTGTTGTCTACATATCCTGGTCATAATTTTGTCACTTTGGTGCAAATCAGTTGAAAGTTCAACTTTCTGCCTAAAACCATCTGTGAGGCGCCATCTGCAGGCGACCTGTATTCACTACATTTGAATTTTGAATCTGGCGCCACCATTGGCACAGCCGTGAAGGCTGACGTCTGCAGTGGCTCGTTACGTCAGCAGCCCCACGCCCTGAGGTATACACCCTATTCCACCACAAACAAAAAGATATTGAACACATCGTCAACCTATACATATTATTCGGAAAATTTCATATTCATAAATCAAAATTTCTCAACAATAATCCCAACTTCAAAGTCTTAAATCAGTACTTGCAATCACTTCAAAGCATCTCAAATAAGAAATCTATAAAAACCAAACAAATATCAGCCATCAATAACTTAAACCACCTACAACACCCCTCCCACCCATGCACTCCCATCTGTACCACCGCTACCAACCATGAAAGAAAAAGCAACTATATAATATTGTAAAAATAAAACCTGCAAGCCTCAAAATGGAAAATGTTTAAAGGAACTGATTTGTAATTTTTTCTCAGCTTAAGTTAATGTCTGTTTTAGCTTTGTCATTCCTAATGTATGTACACCCCTTACTTAAATAAATAAATAAAATGTAAAAAAAAAAAAAAAAAACGGCCTAGTCTCATTCACACCCCCGCTTGTCCCCTTTAGTCCTCCAGGCTACGCCCATTTGGAGGAGATTTGAACAGGAAATGTGAGTGACGTAGGCCTCGAGGAGCGGGGTTGAGAACCACTATAAGCATCGGGCTGAAGTCGGTACCACGGATCTGGAAGACCTTCTGTGTGGAACCAGAAACCAATAGATTGCTTGGATTTATTTTGTGAAGGAATCTTTTCAGTTGTGACTCATTCAATGAATAAACGCAAGAAAAGCAGTCAACAAGAAACGTTTCATTCAACAAGATAAAGCTGTCGACTCGTACTTTTGCAGATCATTTCATCCCTTTTGTGAGAACGAGACGAGCGTTGACCCTTTGCTACATCGCAATTTCTATACTAAGTAAATCATCTTAATTTATATAGTATCTTTCACAGCAGAGTCACAAAGCGCTTTATTATTGTTGTGGGCATTTGTCTCTCCCTCCACACACAGGAGGCACATGCCAGACCTATTGTACATGTTTTTAGTGGTAGGGGAAACCGGAGCGCCTGGAGGAAACATACGTTGACGCGGGGAGAACATGCAAACTCCACACAAAAAGGCCTGGATGTGGAATCAAATGAACCACCGCCCACGTCTAGCCAAGAAGCAACAATACATTTGACCAAACAGTAGAGACTGGGGAGAAACAGGCCATACTGGGGTCAAATCTGACTTATATTCACTGAAAGTATGTGTAGTCTGTGATGTGGGCTTTAAATGACCAATCGCAGCTCGTCTTCCACTACTGGTGACGTCACAGTCTCCCCCTTCCTCCCCCTCCTCCCCCCCCCCCTTCCTCCATTCAGCCGCTGCCAGTGATGAGCTCATGTGTGCCTGTGTGCCAGCGTTTCCCTGCCCTCCCGCCTGCCACTCAAACCCTGTGTATATGTGTGTGCGCGTGCATCCGTGTGCGCATGTGTGTGTGTGCGTGTGTGCGGGTGTGTGTGCATGTGTGTGTATGTGTATGTGCACTGTAAAAGTCGTAATATGACTCCTATAGAGGTGAATTTAACTCTGTTTAAGATATTTGGTTGGTCTCGGAATCATTGTCAAATTTTTAGAGTTCTTTCTACTTAAGATTGTGTAGGTAGTATGAGTGTGTCACTGATGGAACTCCACGACTACACTTTTAACTGCACTGATAGAGCTTTATAATCTCCATAATGTTGAAAATACTCTGGGTCTAAACAACTATACTCAAATTATACAACATAAAAACAAAAAATATGAAAACCCAATTTTTCCTGTGTGTGCAGGTGTGTACGTGCGAGTCTGTGCGTGCATGTGTGTGTGTATGCAAGTGTGCGTGTGTGTGTGTGTGTGTTTACTACATAGAAACAGGGCGGTGACATCATGCCTCCTCCCTGATGACACACTGCTCTGATATGTGTGTGTCTGGGGGCTCCGTGACTCTCAGAGGAACAATGCTCGTCCTGTGCCTCAGATACATGTTCAGCTCAGCTTTCCATACACACAACCTGCATTACTAAACGCACAACCTGCATTACCAAACACACAACCTGCATTACACGCTTCCAGTAGAGAAAGTGGTGTGGTTATGTCATCTTTTACAACACTGTAGAACAACTGTACAACTCCAAGCTTTTCCCTCAGAGAGCTACTTTCTCTAGACAGAAAAGCAAAAATGAGCTTCTCCTTCAAGCCGTTGTGGGAAAAACGAGTTGTTTTATTTGTGAGAGCGAGTCTGAGA